TTTTTTGAAGATACTTTTTAATAGGTTAAGGTAGCTTCTATTCCCAGTTTGCTGACCGTTTTTTTTTTTCTTTTATATATTTTTTACATCATTTTTCATTTTTGCACAATATGTGCATTTTCATCTTGGTTATATTCCCCCTACATTTCCCACCCCCCTTATTTTGACTCTGATCCCTCTTCCACCCCACCTCCCATAGCGTGTCTCTGGTTTATAGTTGTTTGTTGATTTTTTAAATAAAAGGAGGTTGAATTTTATTTAAGGATTGAGATGATCATGTGGTTTTTCTGATTTAGCCACTTAATATGGAAATTTATGAATTAATATTAGCATGTTGAACTAGTTCTGCATTCCTGCAATAAATCCCAGTTGATCATATTTTGCTTTTTATATATTGCTGAATTTAATTTGGTAATTTTTTGTAGAGGATTTTGTATATGTGTTTATGCAGGACATTTGTCTGTAGCTTTCTTTTTTATAATCTCTTTGTCCAGTTATGGTAGTTGAGTAACGCTGACCTCTTAGAATGAGTTGGGATATGTTCCTTTCTCCTTATATTTTCTGAAAAGGATTGTGTCAAACTGATATTATTCATCTGGGTTAACTTTCTTCCCTCATTTGTTTAAATGTGAAAAATTATATGGAAATTGTGATTCTAAATTACGTCTAGCTTAGCTTTTACTCTTTTCTCTGTTCTGTGTTTTTCGGGAATTTCCAAGTGCTTTAGAAGTTGTCTTATTTGAAATCATACAACTTCCTACCACCATTTCTGTGACTAGTCCCCCCAAAAGGAAAACAACTATTTTATTATTAGACAAGAAGCTTTCCATTACATTTTTAGAAGTGCTGCTAGACTGTTCTTCGCATACTGATTTGTAGATATCTGAAATCCTTGATAATCATCTTTTAAACTTACATTCTCCCAGAATGGTTTTTATTCTAACCTCTTCTTCTAACCTGACTCCAAGTGTTTCATTTTCAGAAGAAGAGATTCTATAGACTATGTTGCTAGTAAATTCTAGTGAACTTTTTAAAATTGTGATTTTTATTTTTAGGTCAAAGTGACTTTTGGATAGTTAGGTTCAGTTGAGCTTACATTACATTTTGCATTTGTGTGTTGGGGCTGTAGGTGTATCATTAATTTTATTTTTCTAGATCAATGGGCAGTGTAGCTGTTTCCAGAGCATTGAGCTGCTAAAATCTCGTCCTGCTCACCTGGCTGTTTTCTTACACCATGTGGTTTCTCAGTTTGACCCTGCAACATTGGTAATGTATTTTTTTTTTTTTTAAAGATTTATTTATTTATTTATACAAGCACTGGGTACAGTCAGAAGCGCGGGAGGGTGAGAGAACTCACCAGAGCCAGAGTGGGGAACAGAACAAGCAAACTGACAAAATACTCTGCTGAGGGGAGCAGAGGGCATGGCAGGAGAGGTCTGTCATGCCATGTGGAACCCTCGCTGGTGGCCGGGGATCCAACCAGTGCTGCAGAGACTGCTGGCAGCCTCGCAGCCCAGCGCTCAACTAATGCGCCACCAGGGGAGGCCCTGGTAATGTATTTTATGATTTAGCCAATTAGGAGTTCTTACACATTTCTGTACCTTAACACTTTTTTCTTTTACAAGATGAGTTTCTTTCAGTTTTCTAAACATCTAAGAATAGGTATGAAAGATATGTAAAATGTTATTAATTTATTTTTAAAGACTTGGTTATATAGTAGTCGCTACATTGCTTACAGTGATCTGCCTGTTTCATGCATTACTGTTCAATGAGGATCTAGCAGATTTACATATTTCTTGAATTCTCAATTTCTCTCTTCCATTTCTTTCTCTATTACAGCTCTGTTATCTCTATTCAGACCTATATAAACAGACCAATTCCAAGGAGACTCGTCGTGTATTTCTTGAATTTCATCAGTTCTTCCTGGATCGATCTGCAGTAAGTTACCAAGTTAATTTTATAATATTTGCTTTAGTAACATTGATTTGTCCTTCTGCTTCCAATCTCTCCTCCCATGTTGTTAAGCTTTTTTTTTTTTTGCTTTTTGACATCTATTTTATATCTCAGTTATTATTCTATATTTGGAGTTATTATTATACATATACATAATTAGAATGAGGTAGTTGAAAAAGAGAACACAAATGATATGCAGGTATATGCATTAGGTCCTTGAATAAAATTGTTTCATTCAATGTCATTTTGTTATAGTGTCAGTGAGAAATGAATCCTAGCCTATATTGAATGAACATTGACATTATTTGAAGACCTGGTTTCATTACATGTGGTTTGGCTTAGTTGGTTTCCAAGAACCTGTCGATTCCATTAAGTGAGGGCTTGCTGTATTAGGATCCTAAAGATAATATTTGCATAATTGAATTCTGGTTGACCTCTTAGAAGTTTGGAGCTTTACGTTTAAAGTGGTGGAAAAGGTCACACTCACATAAAAGGTGATAGTGTTTTATTTTGCCAATAGAAAGTTTCATTAGCTTTTTACACTAGTAAGCTTTATCATTAATCCTTAATGCCTCCTGGATAATCATCCTGCTTGTTTCTAGTCCTTTAACATTTGCAGGTCTCTCTCATGACTGATGCCTCTTTCCTAAATCTCTTTTGTCTTTTTCTCAGCTGATGACCTTGCTATTTCTTTGAGAAATTTAAAGTACACAGAAGCTAACTCTTACTAGATTTATCCTATTCTATCATACCCATATGCTCTGCCATTTTTCCTGATGCTATGGAGGAATAGTCCTTGTTTTTAATCTAAGGTCAACACTTTCTCTGTTAACTCAGATTGTATTTTCATATACCTCATCAAAGATACTATTCCAGCATTTATTCTCATACTCTCTTATATTAGTTTTCTACCAAATCATCCACATTAGCATGCAACCATCATTAGCTCTACTATCTTAAACACAACCACACACACACACACACAGAGAAACATTTGGCTCCACTTCTTGCTTTAGCCTCCTTGTTTTCTGTAAATTTCTCTATAAGGTTGCCTATTTCCCTATACACTGCTGTATACACTTATCTTTTCAGTGATATCTTCTCTGATCAGCCTATTTAAAATTTCATTCCCTTCACTTATGGTCACCTTTTCTGTGTTATTTTTGCTCATAGAGCCTATATCTTTATTTATTTGTTTTTTTTATATCCCTGCACTTCTGCCCTGAATCTGAGCACCATTAGAGCAGATGTTTTTGTTCTCTTTGTTCACTGCTGTTTCCCATCACTGAATAATAGATCTTGGTACAGAGTAATTACTTAGGTATTTGTTGAATGAACTTGTTAGTTAGAATCTTTTTTTTTTTTTTTAAAGATTTGCATACAAGAACCAGGGTACAGGTCAGATATGCGGGAAGGTGAGAGGACTCACCAGAGTTAGAGCGTGGAGCAGAACAGGCAGACTGACTGAAATACACTGCTGAGAGGAGCAGCGGGCAAGACAGGAGAGGTCTGCTGCGCCTTGTGGTTGAAGATTGAACTTGTGCTGCAGAGGTTGTGGGTTGCTTCATAGGTTGCGTCTTAACCCCTTGTGCCACCAGGGAGGCCCTAGAATCTTGATTATACTACCATTGTTTAAAATATACTTTTTTTTTAGTATTTATTACGATGATTTGCTTCCACAAAGAAATGTTCTGTTTCATGTTTGAATGTTTGAATTTCACATTTCTTAAGAGAGCTCCATGGTTAAGTTAAAAATCTATTTTGCTACTTCTGTCAACATTGAAGTATAAGAACCCTGATAGATTAATTTGCTGTTTATTCTTTTATGCCTCCTGTGGTATTTATTTCATGCAAATATCCACAAACACAACAAACATTTATATACTTTTTTTACATTTGTGCTTGAAGTGCTTTCAAGAAAGTTGATTTGAGCTACTGGGTGGCAACTTCAGTTAAAGAAAAAGCTTTGAAGGGTTTTTCAAATGAATATTAAAGATCTCTAATTTTTAACAATGACTTGTTTTCCAGTGTAAAATTTCAGAGCTTATGGATTGTTTAAAGTTTAAAAGTATCTTGCTTAAATAGGTCTACAATACAAAGTATACATGATGAATATGGTAAGAATTATTAATTGTTACTATTAATAATTTTTCCAAGACATTTCCCAAATTGATGGGATAGGAAATGCAACAGTTTGGTAATGGGACTGAAACTGCAATTATTACAAGGAAAGTCCTAACTAAGAAGAAGCAAATCATGATAAATTACCTTAGTTCAATAGTAAGAACAACAGATGGTTGCTGAAAATTTAAGACTCCAAAACTTCAACCTTGATCACTATTACATTCTCATTGGGAGTGTGACTATCATGAGAATTCTTTAGCTTTATATAGGCAAGTGACTAGGATGTCTGTGGCGTAACCATCTCAAAAACAGCAGATACAATTCATGGCTACATATAAGTGGATTTTTAATATGATAATATGAACATTATTTACCTATATTAGTTCAGTGATGTGTAACTGCTTATATTAACCAATGATTCTAGAAAGCCAAAGCCAGTAGGAATATGTGAGGCACAGAAACACCTAGTCATTTGGCAAAACGATTGTAGGTATTTCCTTTATAGTGTAGTTCTTGGGGGAAAGGACTCATTTTCAGGTTTAGAAAACAGGAATTGAAGTTATATCGCTTTACTTATACAAGAATTTATATTCACCTTGAGAAGTACCTAATATTCTGTTTCAATTTTTATTTTAGCACCTGAAAGTTCCTGTTCCTGATGAGATATCAGTAGATCTAGGTAAGTTTGGAGTACCAATAACCTGGAGAATGACATCTCTCTAGATATGTAGCTCAGCTCAGCTTTAAAGGTTTTATCTGTCAAGAGGTGACTAGTGGGTCATCTCACTCTCTCTGCAGAGTCTATAATACATTTAAAGGTAAATGAGATCTGAATTCTGAGATAAGCTACACTGAAGAACTTCTCTTTGTCTTACTTAAATTTCTACCAAGTAGCATAGATATGTTGCAAAGTTAAAATATACCTTTAGGTCGGGTCATTCCTTTCCTTTTCATTCTGTAGAAAAAAGAAGACCTGAGCTTATTCCTGAGGATCTGCATCGTCACTATATCCAAACCATGCAAGAAAGAGTCTACCCAGAAGTTCAGAGACACTTAGAAGATTTTCGGTAAGCGTGGTGGTAGATAGAAGCTATATGGTCATTCTAAATTTCCTTTTTAGGTAGGGAAAGTTATACAGTAAGTCCTTGGCTTAGCATATGTGGTCTTTATTCCAGTTTTTAAAATATAGTGTACATTTGAAATCAAAAGACTGTAATGGTACTGAGAGTCCTTAGTCCACATTCCATACAGTTTCAGGGTTTAAGCTCAGTACTTAGCTCTTTGCTAAGTGTGTTCCTTCAGGATTTGTGCTCTGTTGAATGATTGCCTCTGGAATTTTTTTTTTCCTCTGGTGTCCTAGGTGACATGGGCCAAAAATAGAAAACTGTGACATTTTGCTTGTTGCTAGAAACTCATAGCTATGGAAACTCTGATGAAACATCTCCAGAGGGAGATAGATTTTCTCTAGGTTACCTCAGGAAATTTCTCCTTTTTCCCTTTAGGCAGAAACGTAGTATGGGACTGACCTTAGCCGAAAGTGAACTGACTAAACTTGATGCAGAGCGAGACAAGGACCGGGCAACTCTGGACAAGGAACGGGCATGTGCAGAACAGATTGTTGCCAAAATTGAAGAAGTGTTGTAAGTAATGGGAATACATATACAAATTCCCTCTCCTGAAATTCTAGTTATACTGAAAGTACATGTTAAATAAATTTAGAAGAGCTTTGTGTATGTGTAGCTGTCTATTTTGGGTCAATATTCCAGAAACTGGAATTTTTTATTTTGACTGATACTTTAGGTAAAGTTCTTGTGGTTTTTTTTTTCCTGGGTATTGGTAAAATGAGTTAACTATAAAATTTCTAGTAACTGATCAAAAACAGGTTCAACACTTTCATTGGAATTATATCTTTGGAAAGATATATTACTTACCTTATATCTTACTATGAAATGTTTGTAATTGATGATGTGAATGTGAAAAGCAAGTGATTCCTTTGGGGCTTAAAGTTTTTTTGGTATTTTATTCCAGACAGCAGAGGTTCGGGGTGGGAACTAAAGTACTTAGCTCTGTTTTGTTGTTTCAGGTATCTTGAGTTTAGTAGCAGCTCTTTTATTAACTGTAATATTTCATTAAAAATAATTTTTTTTAGGATGACTGCTCAGGCTGTAGAAGAAGATAAGAGGTAATAAACTTTTTCCCTAAAATGACAAGGGAAAAGAAACTGTCTTTACTCCTGTCATTTCTAACTTGTAAATTTTCTTTTTTTTTAATTTAAAAACATAGACTGTCTCCCTCTTGTGGCCTGCATTTTTTTTTTAACCTAATAATCTAGTGTCTGGAGTTAGAATCCTTTTCTGTTTTCAGTGAATGCCTACTTCCATACTTTTTACTTGATGAATTATTTCTAAGAATTCAACATTGTTGGTTTGGAAGTCATTTGGTACCATTATTCTGCCCACTCTTCCTTCTCAGAAGTCTTACTTTACTTAATCCTTTCTCCTCCAGTTCCACAATGCAGTATGTTATTCTTATGTACATGAAGCATCTGGGAGTAAAGGTGAAAGAACCACGAAATTTGGAGCATAAGCGGGGTCGGATTGGATTTCTTCCAAAAATCAAAGTAAGACTTAAGTAATAGTTGTTCAGTTTTCTGTTTTCTTTGCATTTGGGTGCAGTGCTTTCTTTTTTCTTACTGTTTACTTTTTCAGCAATTTAATGCTAGACGTGCTAATAGATGTAAGGTAAAATGCTAGACGTGCTAATAGATGTAAGGTCTCTGTTCTCAAGAAACTCAAAATCTAATGAAAATCCAGACCTGTAAACTAATTACTAGACAGTGTGAAAAGTAAAGATAGCAGTTTACACAGAGTGCCAACCCCAGCTCTGTTATGGAATATTCTTTTTTTCATTTATGGTGCCTATCCCAGTTTGTAATTGTTTATGGTTTTGCTTAATGTTTGTTTCATCGCGAAGGTCTGTGCCGGCAAGGGCCTTTTTCATCACTGTACCCGGCTCTCAGCATAGTGCCTGCACATACTATGGGCTTAGTAAATAATTTGTTCAATGAATGAATGAATTGCTTAGAACAAGCTCCCAATAAATGTTTAATAAACTATGTTTTTATCATCTAAAATTGTCAACTATGTAGAGTTTGAAAAGATAACTCTGAGTTTGATTTGTACATGTTATTGTGCGCCCGCATCTGGTAAGTCCGTGTCTGGTGTGGTGTGATGTTTGTTGAGTGTGTCTTTCACTTATATTTAATCAGTTCATTTCAACAGACCATTAGAGTTGTGTTTCTGCATTTGAAAGCAAAAAAAAATCTACCTGATTGTGTATCCTGTCTCTTTGCTTGTGTCTCTAGCAAAGCATGAAGAAAGACAGGGAAGGTGAAGAGAAAGGGAAACGAAGAGGCTTCCCCAGCATCCTGGGGCCCCCGAGGAGACCAAGCCGCCAGGACAGCAGCGCAAGTAGGTTGCAGTTCAGGTGCTGCTTCGTGCACATAATATCAGATGTTTATTAGCTGGAATGAATTGCTGGAGAAACGTGTTCTCGAAATGATTCCACTGAATTTCCAGCATGCCTGGTTTCCATTCGATGTCATTTATGAATTAAATACCCCCGTGTAAATACATAATTCTCATAAACATCTTCTTTAATGACAATGGAGTACTGCAATGTATCTATAGAATAATTCATATGCCTGTTTTGATTGTTTGCATTCAAGTTCAGATTGTTAAATTAAAAAAGCAAAGTGCACATAGATTTTTCCACCATACTTTATTTAATCGCTTTATGCATATATAACTCAATCTCTCCATACTTCTGCAATTTCTCCATTGCTCCATTATATTTCATTTCCTGATCTCTTTCTACCTTCAGGGCTAATGGCGAGATATTAGCTCCCCAGAGAGAACTGCAAGAGCAGTAGGGATGATGTGGGAGGGAAGCTAGGTCTTGTAGTGGTCTTCAGCTTGAGCAGTGCTGCATTGGAAAACGTTTGCATGGCTGGAGTGGAGGTGCTGATGTGACACAGTGATCCTGAATGTTCACATGGCAGAAATTCTCATTCAGATGCCATAGTGCCCCTTGTCAAGAAAGACCAAGAAAATGAAGGAAATTTTTAGAGAAAATGTTGAGAAGATGGAGCATTTCACAGATGCTGACCATAAGTTTCAAAGGATACAGAAGAATTGTAGGAAGAGTTTCAGGATGAGGGATGTACAGATCTTTGTAAGGACATGCAGTGCTTAGTGGAGTGATGACCAGGTACTGTAAGTGATGTGAACAGGGATAATGATCAGGATAGTGATTAGTCTGGATGGTCACTGAGGTGTATTGTAATAAAGTTGAGAGTGCCAGGGAAAAGTGGGGTAGGGGCTGCTAATAACTCACAGAGCTGAAAGGCTTCATCTTCGCTCTACATATAGAAATATATATAGTTCTGTATGTGTCTATCTTGGCATTCCCTTTCCCCACATTCACCATCACTCTCATCTTTTCTCATCTCATCTGTGTCCTCTCTCTCCATTTCATTTCCCACCACCTCCCTTCCTTTTCTTTCATCCTTGCTCGATCTCCTCTTCCCACCATCCTTTGCCTTTCTCTCTTTCATCTTTCTTCCCTTTCCGCTCTATTGTCTGTCTGTCTGTCTACTTACTATCTACCTATTTACCTGTCTACCTAATCTATCTATTCTTTACTCTGTAATAATTCACCATAGATTTTTCTAGGTTCCAACATTTTTCCAGATCCTTTACATTATCTTTTTTTTTTTTTTCCTTGTAGTTGTCTTGCAATGTAAATTGTTAAGCATTGCTTTCTGTTTAGTTGGCAGGGCCATGGAACTACAACAGAAGCAGCGCCACCCTAAGCACTTATCCACACCCTCATCTGTGAGTCCTGAACCACAGGACTCTGCTAAGTTGCGCCAGAGTGGCTTAGCAAGCGATGGAGCAGACATAGGATACTTGCAAGCCAATTCCATGTCTTCTATGTCTCCAGGGGTTCCTCTTTCCCAGGAAGGAGGGAAAGAGAATGATACGGGTGAGCTAATGGTGTAGTTTAACTTCTTGACTATCAAAATTTTAAAACAATAGCACTAAGAAATTTGATAGTCTTAGAATGTCAAATTATTTTAATCAATAATTAAATTCTGAATTAAAACTGAATTCCTATCTAGTTTAGTTTTAACATTTTAAAATTTTGTAAATAGTGGCAAATCTATACGGAATGATAACTTATTGAGCTCTCTGTCGGAATTTAATTTTGTACCAGATGTACATAGATTCCTGTCCCATGTGTTATTCTTATGGGAAGATAGTCACACAAATAAAATATTCAAACTGCTGTGTCCAATAAAGGAAAGTAAAGGGAGTGTTGAAGGATAGCGGTTAGAGGCATATGTGGGGTTGGTCTAAAAAAGACTCCAAAATCTGAGATATTAAAGATTTCTTGTTTGTTATTTAGTGCCAGTTGAGAGAAGGGTGTTGGGGATACAGGAGATAGACTCCATAACCAATAGAACATTAATTTGAGGATAGGGGAGAGGAGATGCAGAGTATATGTGAAAGTTAAAGTTATTTACTGAGAGTGAAAAGGAAAGAAAGATTTTGAAAAGGAAAGAAAGATATGAAGTTAATTGTAGATAATTGGGAAAAGATCTTACCATGTTTTTTCATGATTTGTTACAATGGGCTTCTTAAGTAAGTGAGTTGGGAGACTACTGGTTATAGTTGGAGAATGGACTACCTAGCTCCATTAGCGTTTTGGAGGCAGTTCAGTCTCTGGTGATGGCAGATCCAGGATAAAGTTCTGGAAGTGGACACTAAGGTTGCATAGAGGAGGTTACTAGACGTAAAGAAGGTAATAGCTAGTATACATGGGTTTTGAGGTTACCTTGTGTGATATTAGTATAGAAAGGAAACATTTGACCTGCAGCCAGAGTTGCAGTTGTTGGTAGGTGATAGTTGTGAGGAGGGAGAATATGTGATAATATCCAAAAAATGAGAGCCTCCAAGAAGCAAAGGCTTTTATAAGAAGAAGGAAAAATAATGATCTGAAAGTAGTAGTAGGGAAAGAACACCCATCTCATCTCCACTCTGAAGTCCACAGTATATGGCAGAAACACCTCTATTTGAGAAGAGATTACCCATGTAAGATAGAACGGTGGGTTTTTATTTATTATGAAGTAAGGATGAGATTTGGAGAATAGTCTGGAGATTGTGTCTGATATGGAATTCTGAAGATACTGAATTGAGGACCCTGCATTAATTCATGGCTTTTGTTTCTCATTGAAATGAAAACAGGGTAGGTAATCAAAAAAGAAAAAACATATGTAGGGAAAGGAAGGTAAAATGTTGAAGTGAAAGATTTCAACAAATTTGGGGGAGATTGAAATTAGACAAGAATAATTTGATGGATAAAACAACATAAAGGAAGCTGGAGCCTATAATTTGTTTTTGAGTCCAATGTGGGAGCCAGTCTGCCCATTGGAACCCTGGAGAGAATTGGATTTAGAATTGGCATGTGATAAGGAATGTGTGAGTAAGAAGTAAATCTGAAAACGATGAATTAATTGAAGGTCTACAATCAAAACAATTGAGTCAGAAATCTGTGATCTTTACAGTGTGGAAATATGAAGTCTGTCATTTATATACTGAAGAACACTATGTTCTTTTTTTCTTTTTCTTTTAAGAAAAATTGAATGATTATGTAGGGATAGTTAAGTCCTTCATGGTGTTAGTGGACTAGAGTTCTAACATTTGGGGCCTAAAGCCTGACAGTGTGCATGTGAGGTACACTCCCTTCTTAGAGAGCTCCATACTAAACGACCTTTTTACATATTGGCATCAAAAGAAAGCCAAATCATATCCAAGTCTTACATTCTTAAATATGAAAAGCACCGCTCATTCTTGGTAAAATTTGCTTGTTAGAGTTAATACTTAAGATAATACGTAATGCCAAACATTAGACAGTGGCATAAGACTTTTAGAAGCAACCTGATAGGCAAAACACAGTATTTTCATTTGGGGCTACAGGTCAGAATGTACATGTAAAAAATTTTAATGAAACAAGTAAAATAGTTACTAGTTGGAAGAAATGAAATGTAATTGGAAAGAATATAATTAGAGAGGAGGATATGATGCTAATACCTTATCTGACACAGAAGCACATTAACAGAAGAGAGCTAAGATCCTAACTCCTTCATGTAACAAAAACATAGTCATGCTATTGAAACTTGGGTAATAATCAATAACCCAACTAGTAATAGTAATACAATTACTAGACATTGGGAAGAAATGGAGGGAAAGTGCAGGCGAGAAGTATAAGTGAGCAAAGTCCTCAGAGGAAGAAATAGTTATTACCTAAAGATAATAAATCAAGAATAAGAAGTATGAGGTTTGAATTGGACTACCATAGTCACTAAAATTTGAAACTTTAAAAAAAGATTGATTCTGAGGGTAAATCAGGTGACAAAAAGTTTCTGTTCATCATATGCTCTTCTGAGTTGTCATGTCTTACATCCATTTTTTAAAAACTGCTAACAAATGATTTTCCTATTTATTTTTTAGTGCATATAAACATTTTATATGTTAGAGTTTTGGTTCTAGATAACCTGTAACAGTTTAAATAAGAATATGGCTATGGATTAGGTGGACCTTCTTTTGGGAACTAAATCAGTTTTGTAATTATTGTCCTTATTAAAGATTGATACCACCCTAATGTCTGACTATTGTCTTTTCAGGATCAAAGCAAGTTGGAGAAACACCAACATCTGGAGACTCTCTAGATGGTACACCACGTACACCCAACACTCTCTTTGATTTCACACCTCCTACACTAGACCAAGTACAGGAGGAGGAGTGCGAAGTAGAAAGGTAATGTAGTGATATCTTAGGGTAGACATTGCTTAAGTTTTTTGACTGTACTGTATTCCTATTTTTCCTATTTTTTTTTTCTCTCACGTGTGTTTTTTTTGGGGGGAAAGAATTAGAACTTAGAGTTACTATTACAAGTACTCAACTGTTTTTTCATTTATCTGCTGCTAAATCCTGAAGAATTCTTTGTCAGCTGTGGTAGTTTAACCCAGTTTTGCTTCTCTTGGGCATGAATTTCTTGATTACAGTTTTGTTTTCATGTTAACTGTTTATTCTCCATTGTTTTAGGGTGACTGAACATGGAACACCAAAGCCCTTTCGAAAGTAAGTAATCCTGAAATAGCTTTCAGGAGAAGCGTATTTAAAGAAATATATCTTTTTCCCCTAAAGTTCTCATTTTAAAGGAAAAGAATTCCTGCACACAAATCTGTTAGACAGTATAAAGCAAAGTTCTTAATAAACATAAATCATTGAAAAGTTATTTATAGAGTGTATGTAACACATATTAGCCATTTGTAGGAGGACTGCGCCTTAGCTTCTTTGCTATACAATATTTCAGAAATCTGATTTACTGTAATGTAAAAACTTGTGTCATTTGCCATCTGTCCACCTGATATCCTCAAGGAGAATTTATCATTTTTTCCTTTTAAGGTTCGATAGCTCAGCTTTTGGAGAAAGTCAAAGTGAAGATGAACAGTTTGAAAATGACTTAGAGACAGATCCACCCAACTGGCAGCAGCTTGTTGGTCGAGATGTGTTAGTGGGACTAAAGCCTTGTGAGATCAAAAGACAGGAAGTAATTAATGGTGAGTTCAATCAATTTTTGTTGTTATAGTTGTTCGCATGTATTGAGTTTTTTCAGGAGTAAAACTAACCCCTGAGTCTAGGAGTTTGCGTCAAAGTTCTGCTAATCTTTTGTTTTAAACAAAGGAAATTAAACCGGATAGATAATCCTTAAACTTTCCAATTCAAAAAACACAAGTGATTCTGTGTTTAACCGTTAGGGTATTTAAGATTCATAGATTCGTAGATTTTTTTTTTGATTAATTAATTTATTTATACAAGCACTGGGCAGTCAGAAGCGCGGGAGGGTGAGAAAATTTACCAGAGCGGGGAACAGAACAGGCAGAATGACGAAGAAATACACTGCTGAGGGGAGCACTGGGCACCGGCAGGAGAGGTCTGTCACGCCATGTGGGACCCTCTCTGGTGGCGGGGGATCGAACTGGTGCTCCAGAGGCTGCGGGCAGCTTTGCAGCCCAGCACTCAACCGCTGCGCCACCAGGGGAGGCCCGATTTGTAGATCTTAAACTTGAAAAATTTGAGACAACATTTGCCCTATCCCTTGTTATTTTTATGCAGCAATTATAAATGAGGAAGGTAAGGCTCAGGGTGGTTGGTTGACTTAATCAGAATCATACAGTTCTTAAGTGATAGGTGAAAAGTAAGATCCAGGTCTACCATTATTCTGTCTAGTACAGTTTCTTTATTTTACTTTGGCATGTATGTGACAGAGATAGGACATGTCTGCTGTACTGGCTGCTCTTTTCAGGATGTGACTTGAAAAATAGCCTTCCTAGCTCTTAAAAAAGTTGATACAAAAAAAAGTTGATACAGTGAAATTGCAAGTCTGTCTTCAGACTGAGTATTTATAGGCAAATTCAATAACCAAAAGTACTGCTGTTTATGAAAAGGGTTCAATTTAAAGGCTATATGATAGTGTTTACAGTTTTCTCATGTTGTAGTTGTGACTTGTGGGGATTTGGAGAGGAATTTGGAGGTGCACTGTTAATTTTTAAGTACATTGAATGATGTTTTTCATTGGCCAGTAGTCAACTCTTAGAGCTGGTATGTGGCAGAGTTTCATGGAATCAAGATTCTGAAAATGACTTCAGAGATAACTATGTCTGTCCTAAACTATAATTATTAAATAACTCACTTGCTATATAATTCTAGCTAGTGCTTATGTTTGTTGCATGGAATTATTCTAAGTAAGGTGACATTTCATATCTCTTTTTCTGCTTAGAATTGTTTTATACTGAAAGAGCTCATGTTCGAACATTGAAGGTTCTTGATCAGGTGTTCTATCAGCGAGTGTCCAGAGAAGGAATTCTGTCATCTTCAGAACTACGGAAAATTTTTTCAAACTTGGATGATATTCTTCAACTTCACAGTAAGAGAAATGATTCTGATCTTTGTTCCTAACATTTTCAATGGATAAATGACATAAATGCACTGTAACAGTAAAATCTTATAAATGTATCCAGGTAGCATTCCTTAAATTATGCAGTTATATGTGAGCATATAGCATAAATAAAGAAATAGTTGGCTATTTAAACCTATCTAAACCCTGCTTTCAACTTTCTGTATACAAAGTGTTAGCACAGGATTTAGTCAATATCCAAGATGAAAACAATAGTGTAAAATTTCCTATCCATTATACTATGAATGTTTTAAAATATATATATTCCATATAATAATATGTGTATAAGTGCATTTTATAAAGTCATATACAGTATATAATCCCACAGTAGGATAATTTTCAGGAATTATTTTATTGTTTTGTTGTTTGGAACACTTGAGTACATACATAAAATTTCCATCTTGCTGACTTTCCTGGTGTAGTCAGTTTAGACTTTTGTAGACAGTAGTATCAGTTCCTCTCTTTGACAGTCACCTTTTCCCCATGACCCAAAATATCTTATCTCTCCCCAAGGATGCCATACCACCTACCAGTACCTGTCAATCAGATTGATGCCTTTTATTTTTTCTTGGGTGATCTTAGGTTTCATCAGCATACATGAAAAATTTCAGGCTTGAATTCATCCATTGCCTGTGAACACAGACATTTTGAGAGAAACAATGCACTATTAAAACCTGCACTATTAAAATTTAAGTTTTTTATAAACATGGTGACAGATGAATCTTGAAGCTTACACATTGTTTTATGCTTTGGCATCTGATTTTAGATAGAGCTCACAGATATCTAGAGATATAAGAATTGTGTTTATATTTATTTTTAAGGAGATTAAAAGCATTTATACTTTTCTGAAAATTATTTTTTTGAAAGTTTAGGTTCTTGGTACCACCAATAACTCATCCTGAAGTGAGTGCATACTTAATTTTTTCCATTGTTTTTCCCCCCTGCTTAGTTGGATTGAATGAGCAAATGAAGGCTGTTCGAAAGAGGAATGAGACTTCTGTTATTGATCAGATTGGGGAAGATTTGTTGACCTGGGTAAGGAAATCTGCTGTTTTTTCAATATTTTCATAAACACTTACCAGATTCAAGATTAAGTAAATAGCCTTTCTAAATATGCAAACTCATTCATTTTTCACAATTAATGTAAAGGGTTCAGAGTTTGTATTCTCTTGAATAAGTGCTCAAAGTGCTTTTCTTCCATCAAATTAAAAATAATAGTTCTTTGTGTCCTAAAGAATATAGAATAAAGTGGATCTTGATAAAAATAATTTAACTGATGTAGAATTTTAACTATCATCTGTTAATCTAAATTTCAGAATTGTATATTGTTAAACATTTTTAGATCCAGAACTACCCTTATAAAATTAGAAAAGTGAAAATTAACTTGTTTGTAGTATAAGGGAAGAGTTCAGAGATGTTGGTATCTGTCAAATTCTGTTACTCTTTCTGCCTGACTCTTTGTCAGTATATATTTGTGTGTCAAGCATCTTTCTAGATGCTGGAAATATGCTAGCAATCAAATCAGACATGGTTTCTGCTCCATGGTGGAGCTTATAATCGATGGAAAAAATGTTATTATTTCAAGTGTGATGAGTATTGCAAAAGGGGAGAGTACAGGTTGTTATGGGAATATTTAGTAAGGAAACTTAATCTAGAACATATGGAAAATACTCCTAGGGGAAGTGGATTTAACCAAGCTTTTATTTTATTTATTTATTTATTTATTTTTTGTGGGACCCTCAGTTGCGGCCAGGGAATGAACCGGCTCTGCAGAGGCTGCTGGCAGCCTCGCAGCCCAGCGCTCAACCGCTGTGCCACCAGGGGAGGCCCTAACCAAGCTTTTAAAGAAAATACTATAGTTACAGCTGATAATAGTATATAATGAAGTTCTCAGAATCTTAAGCCTGAACAAGAACTGCTTAGATACTGCTTCAATATGTAGACTGCATGAAGAAATGCCACAGATTTTGGTAAATCTACAATGATAATTTTTCAAAAGATGAAATACTAGTTGGTTGACTAAAACAATCTTCATCTTACTCCTTTCATCAATGATTAGATCTTGGACCAGAACTTACTGATTCAGCAGTAGATCTTTTCTTAGACCAGAATTAGGGAATCATAATCCAGTCTTTTCTCGCCTTCATAGAATTTTCTAAAGCATTTTTCCTTAGGCCCAGTCTGCCATTGTTGTTATTGAAGAGATTTAGTGTCCTTAAAAAGCTCAACTTTCTCTATGACTGCTCTTTGATAATGTAATTCATTTTGTTTCTTGATCTCTATGTAGCAATGAAAGTTGTAATAGTTCTAGTGACTTAGCAGCATTCTCCTCAACTTGAAACAGAAAATGTGTAGTATGACATAGTGTAGCATCAATTTGCAAGTCAAGCTTGGAGTAAAATAACTAAGTTGTATGTACTTGATAAGCAGTCTTGATTCCTCAGGAATTTCATCTGTATCTCAGATAAACAATGCTCAGCACCAAGTGTCAAGTGAGATTCATTACTGGTAAGGGATAGAGTGCAATTGCTTCTCTCTTCACAGTCCGTTGGACTCCATAAATCTATTACAGGGTAAAATAAAGTTGAGAAAGAGCAGGACCAATAAATGTCTTTTTTTTAAAAAGATTTATTTATTTAGGGCCTCTCTGGTGGTGCAAGGGTTAAGATGCAACCTATGAAGCAATCCGCAGCCACTGCAGCACAGGTTCGTTTCTGGCCAGCCAGGGAGCAACCCACATGGTGCAGCAGACCTCTCCTGTCTCACCCTCTGCTCTCCTCAGCAGGGTACTTCGGTCAGTCTGCCTGTTCTGTTCCCCACTCTGTCTCTAGTGAATCCTCTCACCCCCCACTCCTCTGGCCTGTACCCCAGTTCTTGTATGCATAAATAAATAAATCTTTTTTTAAAGAAAAAAAAAAAGATTTAAAAGATTTAAATCTTTAAAAAAAAAGATTTATTTATTTATGCATAGAAGAACTGGGGTGTGGGCTGGGGAGAGCAGAAGTGAGAGGATACACCAGAGACAGAATGGGGAGCTGAACAGGCAGATCTATGGAAATAAACTACTAAGGGTAGCAGCAGGCAAGTCAGGATTGGTCTGCTGTGCCTTGTGTGGGTAGGGATCCAACTTGGGCCACAGTGGTGATAGTGCTGAGACTTAACCCCTATGCCACCAGGGAGGCCCCAAAAAGGTGTCTCTCAGAATCTTTTGATCAGTGTATTACTGATCAGTGATGAGTATATACCCATAGGAAGTTGAAGAAAAACAGAATGACCAACCAATTTGGTCAGTAACTGTTAGGGACAGAGGGTTAATTTAGAGCAAAGCACTGACCAGAAATAGAAAAGGCAAAAATAAATAAGCCTTTAGATTTACTATATCTTTAAAGATAATATAGAAAAGTATTTTTCTAGTATTGTTCTCTTAAAATCATCACCCTGTTAGTTGACTAACTAGGTAAAATTACTATAAAATTGCTTGAGTTTGGGGATATTATTTTCTTTTCTAAGTCCAGCTGTACTTTGATTAACATATCAAAATTGCTACCAGTCTCATATTAAACATGTTGAGTGCCAAGTTTACTATAGATTATGAATACAACATTGGAGCAACCTATTCAAATAACACTTTGGTTCCTAGTTGAACAAAAGTTACTTTTAATATATCAACATATGTACTTCAAAAGGATTTTTCATAAAACATTTTCATATAAACCATAAAGCAATTATTACAAATATAAAGATGGTTCAAAATAAGTTATTCCACCTGTACTTTTAAGAGTACTTACTATGAGTGAAACATTATTACGTTTTATCAGAATTTTTAAATCATGATGTGTACAAAAAAATTTAGAAATTAAAAAAATCAGTAATTATGTAATTTTTTAGGAAAAGATTATACTTTTTTGACTGAAGTAAAAATGTTTTAGCAAAAGATTATACTGATGCGTCGTCCCCAAAGGGAGAGTCAAGGCATGGCGCTCCAGCTGCTGTAGCAATGCTTTGATTTTATTGCAACCCGGAAAAGTTATGACCAGCCCTGTATTTCAGAGTAAGAAAGAAGACCAGAATCCCAAGTCTCTTGTTCCTGGAGCAATAGCAAAGTAATTTTTGTGAAGGTGTCAGATTCTATGAGAATGAAGGTTTAATCTCAGTCTTCAAGTTTTTGTGTCTTCATATTCAGTAAATGTTAACTTCTCTATACAATTTGGAAGTGGTCTAGCAAGGTAATGAAAAAGTATTAAGCGTGGTAAGCATCAATGAGCAAGAATGCATGGGAATATGATCAGAAAAGGTCTGTCTGTGTCAGACTCAGACCTTTTTAATGGAGAAACATTGATGCTCCACACAAATGTATAGGTCTCTGCTGTCACCAGAGAATACTTAATGGAATATGGAACAGAATGCAGTTGTCTCTTTGGCCTTATACAAGCTCAGTACCCACTTCTGTATTGTGTTCTTTGCATTCTTGGCACAGTTCAGTGGACCAGGCGAGGAGAAGTTGAAACAAGCTGCTGCTACCTTTTGCAGCAACCAGCCTTTTGCCCTGGAAATGATCAAATCTCGTCAGAAAAAGGATTCTCGATTCCAGACTTTTGTGCAAGTGAGTTGAATAAGTCGTGTAAGAGAAAAAAATGCAATTTTTTAAATTATCAATTATAAAATGAACTGGGGGAATTCTAAGACTAAGCCTTTTACAGAGATTTTACCTATGTTGACCTTTTTTTTTAAGCCATGCATTATTCTTAAATTACTGGATATTGTTGGAGTGATGAATAGTAAATATTATGTCAAGATTGAAATACTTGACAGAGAAGTCCACATTGCCATGGAGATAGATATTGTCAGGAAATTATCCCTGTGCATTATTAAAATGACATAGTTAATACATGGGATTGGGGCTTATAACAAGCCCAGGAAAGACTGTAATAGCAGTCACACTTTCTGAGGTCTGTAGTGGTATCTATCAAAGGTCAATAGACTTCAGCCCACAGGCCATATCCAGCCTCTTACCTGTAAACAAGGTTTTATTAGAACATAGTATATTCATTTTTAATGCTATGTAGCAAATTACCACAAATGTGACAACTTTTAAAACAATGCAGATTTATCATGTCATAGTTTTTGTGGCTTAAAAGATATAGTTTAGCTGAGCCCTCTCTTCATGCTTTTATCAGACTGAAATCACCTTGTCAGCTGGAGCTTCAATTCTCATCTGAGCCTTGGGCTCCTCTTCTAAGCTCTGTTTTTTAGCAGAATTTATTTCCTTATAAATGTGTGACTAAGATCTCTGTGTTCTTGCTATTATTGACTAGGAACTACTCTCAGCTCCTAGAAAATGTCTACATCTCTGGCATGTGGCTTTTTCAGACAGTTTATAAAATGAATGTTTCCTTTTTCCAGACCAGTAGGAATGTGTTTCTCTGGCAGAGCCTTTCTTTCTTTATTTATTTATTTATTTATTTATTTATTTATTTTTGAAGGTTCCTCTGATTAGGTCAGATTCACCAGATTTTTGGATTAATTCCTAGTCAGCTGATAGTAACCTTCTCACGGGAGTGCCGTCCTATCACATTGATGGGTTATTTTTACTCCAGGGAAAGGGTTCATATAGGGGGTGTGTGCTACACTATGGAAATGTTAGAGGTCATCTTAAAACTCTTTACTACATATAACTCTGTTCATTTTTTTATGTATTGTCTGTGGCTGCCTTTGTGCAAATAGCAGACTGAAGTGGTTATAACAGATACTGTATGACCCGACAGATTTAAAATATTTACTGCTTGGTACTTGACTGAAAAGTTTGCACAGCACTGGTATAAATTAACTGGTATAACTGGTAGGCATGCTACCCTTAGGAAAATGTAAGTATATTTTCTGAATCACAAGACAGCAATTCTTAGAGTTGATTATGGAGGCTCTCAGTCCTTCCCTAAACAGATAAGAAGCCATTGCTTTAGTGATAAAGGGTACCTTCCCCCATTTTCTGAGTAAAGGAGAAAACAAAAGCGTGATGTGGAAATGGTAAGTTTGTTTTTTTTTTTTTTTTTGGAAATGGTAAGTTTTGATTTAACAATTAGACCTGTGATTGTGTAGACACTTATGATGAATATATGGTATGTATTTAATTAGTCCAAATAAGAAATACAAAATCAATTATTTCACTTTAATTTTAGGATGCTGAGAGTAATCCACTGTGTCGTCGTCTGCAACTGAAGGATATCATACCCACCCAAATGCAGAGGCTTACTAAGTACCCTCTTCTATTGGATAATATTGCCAAATACACAGGTATATTATTCTTGCGGAAATAAAAAAGCTAAGGCACAAAGAAAACCATAAGTTGGTAAATAATCTCTCACAGCATCCTGGTGCTTGGAAGTTGAATTTCCAAGTAGTATAGCTAAATTTTATTTATTTTTTTTAAAGATTTATTTATTTATACAAGAACTGGGGTACAGGCCAGATGTGGGGGAGGGTGAGAAGATTCACCAGAAACAGAGCTAGGAACAGAACAGGCAGACTGACTGAAATACATTGCTGAGGGGAGCAGCAGGCGAGACAGGAGAGGTCTGCCGTGCCATGTGTGTTGCTCTGTGGCTAGCGGGGATCGAACCAGCACTGCAGAGGCTGGAGACAGCTTCACAGCGCTGTACTCAACCGCCTACACCACCAGAAAGGCCCAGTATAGCTAAATTTTATAACAAGATTCAATCCAGACTTCTTCAGGCTAATTTGATTTAATATATTTCATTAGTAGCTCTAGCATAGAGTTTGACAAACTATGCATCATGGACTAAGTCTGACTCACTACCTGTTTTTGTAAGTAAAGTTCTTTTGGAACATAGTCATGCTAATTTGTTGGCATTGTCTGCTTTTGCACTACAACAGCCCAGTTGAGTAGTTACTACAAAGATCATTTAGCATGTAAGGTTGTAAAATAGTTATTATCTGGCCCTTTACAGAAAAAGTTTATCAATGCTTCCTGTAGCATTTATCATACTTGCTTTGAATTCTGTGCAAACTCCTGTTTCTTATACCTGAGAATTTGAATGCATAATTGGACAATTTAAAAATATGGTACCTGCTACCCAAAGTGACTTATACCACACATACTAATTTTTATACTGCAATAGATTTGTTCAGTAAAATTGGGCTATTGCTTAGAAAACTGTAGTTATACACAGTCTGATTTTGCTATTCTTTACATTGTAGACCTCAATATAACCTCAGCACATTTTAGTGATTTTCATCTTCTTTTAATAATCCAAATATTGTAATTTATTTTCTTTGTTTAAACAATCTCAAATTCAAGAAACTTACTTTGAGTATTTTGAATTGTGTTATCACTCAAAAAATGTTGCTGAATAGGTCAGTGGACACAGTCTCATAGGCTATACTATGAAATTCTAGGAGAGGGTTCATCCCATTTATATAGTTTACAGTATGACTGGGAAACACTCCCTGGAATGTGTAACATAGCGGCCCTGATACTTAATTGGACAAGTATCATTTCTTATATTTGGGATTTTCTAATATGCTTTATTTTTAAACATCATTGGAAGTCTCACTTGTCCAAAAATTACCTGAATTGAGATTCTACCAAAGATTTTAGTCTGGTATAAAAATAACCACCGTCTTAGTATATACTTACAACTGTTAAAATGAAATAAGATCATCTCTGATTTTTTTCCATTTTCCATTTTCCATTTTTGATTTCTTTCCCTTATTTAGAATGGCCGATAGAAAGGGAGAAGGTGAAGAAAGCTGCTGATCACTGTCGTCAGATCTTAAATTATGTAAATCAGGCTGTCAGGGAAGCAGAAAACAAGCAGGTAAGATGGGAAAAGGAAGAAAATATAGGATGACATAGTGAGAATGTTAAATTAGTATTACCTGGAACTTGTGAAATGCTAATTGAAGCTATCATTATATAATTAAAGGTCAGGACATTTGTTAACTATTCATATAATAAGTAGATCCAGATCAACTTGTGATAGAAAACTAGGGTTGTATTTGAGCCTCTCTATCTGCTTGTTTGCTCATTCATTTCATTCATCTATTCAATTAACTATATTTACAGAGATTCTACTATATATACACACACACACACACACACTGAGTATATAGAATGGTTAAGAAAATGTGTGCATTAAGGTGCCAGTATTTTTTTTAAAGATCTATTGTATTTATTTATGAATACAAGAACTGCAGTGGAGGCTAGAGGTACAGGGGGTGAGAGGATTCACCAGAGACAGAGTGGTGAATCTGTAGAACAGGCAGATCTCCTGAAATACGCTGCTAAGAAAGCAGCAGGCAAAACAGGAGAGGCCTGCTATGCCATGTGGGTTAGCTCCCTGGCCAGGGTCAAGCTCATGCTGCAGTGGCTGGCAATAATCTTGATAACACTGAGATTTTAACCCCTATGGTGCCAGTATTTTGTATCACTTACTGTGAAGGAGAATTTCAGGGTATTAGGCATGTGTAGGAAGAGAATCTAGCCTAGTTTGAGCATATTAGGCAATGGCCATCAGAGACAGCTTCCTGGAGGAACTGACATTGAAGCCAGGCTCTTAATGATGAGTAGAAATAACCAGAAGAATGTAGAAGGGGGCAATCTTACAGGTAGAGGGAACAGCATATACAAAAGTCCTGGGGTAAAAAAGGAAGCACGGTATATTTGATGAGCTGAAATGTGAGAATAGTGTGGATCATTCCTAAACAAAATCAGAGTGGTATGAAATGAGGTACAGTTGGCCTGGGTCCTACAGGGGCCTGCAGACTGTTAAATAATTTTATTTTTTATCCTAAGAGCAGTAGGAATTCACTATAGGACATTTTTGAATAGCACATTCAGATTTTTCACTTTTTTTTTTTTTTTTTTTTTTTAGATTTTTTTTTTTTTTTTTTTTAATAGAGGCATGTTATATTTATTTATTCATTTATTATACATGCACTGGGTACAGTCAGAAGTGCGGGAGGGTGAGAGAATTCACCAGAGCCAGAGAGGGGAGCAGAGCAGGCAGAAGGACCGAAGTACACTGCTGAGGGGAGCAGCGGGCGGCAGGAGAGGTCTGCGTGCCATGTGGGACCCTCCTCTGGTGGCCGGGGAGCAGCCGGGGATTGAACCGGCGCTGCAGAGGCTGCAGGCAGCTTCGCAACCCAGCGCTCAACCACTGCGCCACCGGGGAGGCCCAGATTTTTCACTTTTTAAATATCCTTGGTGAATGGATTAGAAGGAGTAAAGGAGTGGAGGAAAAGGCTCAATTAGCAGAAATCCAGATTGATGATTGTGTCTTAGAGAATTACAAGAATTAGCAGTGTATTTAGAAGGTAAAATTAACAGACTTGGTGACCAATTTAAAGAAGGATTTGAAGGAAGATGATGGATAAGAATAAACCCCTGACTTGCACATTTAGATGGACATGAGTGGAGAAGCCCCAGATCTATGGGGAGGATGATGAGCTTGGGATATGGGGTGAAGTGTACAGCAAATTGGCTATATGGATTCACATCTAAAAGACTGTTAAAGATAAAAAATTTAAGATTGTGAAATCATACATGTTAATTGTATCCTTGGACATTGGTGAGGGTATAGAAAAACAAATACTTTCAAATGCATCAATATTATCTGATGTGTAAAGTGATAAAACCACAGAAGCGCAGTTTGGCAATAGTCACATAAATTAAAAATGCACATATTATACATCTACCCTTTGATTCAGCAATTCTATTTCTATTGATTTACTCAAGAGAAATGAAAATATATACCCCATAGTTTTGTATAAGAATGTCTAGAGCATAAATCAAATGTGCTATAGTCATGAACTAGAATAATGCAGCAATAAAAAACATTGAACTACTGATACACACAGTATGATGAATATCACAAGTATTATGTGGAATAAAAGGAGCCAGACATGAAGAGTACATACATATAATCAGTATATATGTAACTCTAGAACAGGCTAAACTAATCTATAATAGGTAAAAATTAACAGAAAAGTGATTAAGTTACTAATGATATTAAATGACAGATATTAACTAGGAAGAAGTACAAGGGAACTTTCTGAGGTGATAGTAATGTTTTGTATCTTGATAGGAGTTGAGTGCATAGATATATGCATTTGTAAAAGCTCATGAAAGTTACACTTAAAATGTATGCATTTCACTGTATGTAAATTTTACTTAAAAAAGAACTATATTGGACTCTTGTTAATGATATAAATGCCGAAATGTTTAGAGGTAAAAAGTATGCTTATATCTAACTTATTTTGAAATGTATCCAAAAATAATATGGATTGATGGATAGAGAGATGAATGGATAGATATATGAGAAAGCAAATGTAGCAGATATTAATTGTGGGATGTAGGTGGTGGGTATATGGGTGGATGTTCTCTATCCACATTTAGACTAATCTTTTCTTTGTATTTGGAAATTTTTATAATCATGGGGGAAATAGCAAGTACCTTTTTATCTAAAGTTCTAGAAATTTATCCTGTATATGTGTATTAAAGCTTCTGAGCGCAGTTATTTTACTTCAGTATTGTTTGCTATAGAAGATCGAAAGTAATCTACGTAACTACCACTAAGATGTAGTTAAATAAATTATAGTTCATTCATGGACTAGAATACCATGTAGCCATCAAAAACGAGACAGCTCTTTCTATATGTGCTAATGTGGATCATTCTGCAGGATGTATTGATGAGCTGCACGCACAAACAAACGTGGGGAGGTGATCAGTAATGCATATGAATCTATTCTGTTACTATTTGAGTAATATATGTATAAATATTTATTCTATCTTTTTTTAAAAGGATATATACACAGTATGCATAGAAACAAGCATACTTATATACACATATATTCTATTTTCTTAGAATATTTCTCATAGGCTACCCAAGAAATATCTATTTCTTTAAAGAAAATTGGAGGCTTGGGAATGCAAGAGGACTAGATTGGAGGGAGACTTTTTATAAATATTTATTTACTATTTATTGTGTGCCATATACTGTAGCATGTATATGAATTACATATTCAGAAAATAAATACAGGCTTGTGAGAGGCCAGTGAGTTTGAAAAGATTGAGGAAGAAACCTGTCAAAGAGATAAGAGGAAAACCCGGGAAATGTAATACCACCAAAGTCAAGAGAAGGGAGTGTTTCAAGAAAGAGTGAGTTGTCACTGTGTCTAATGTTGCAGGGAGTTCAGTAAAACAGGAAGGTCATTGATATCCAAAGCAATAATCCTGACTCCATCCTGTCTAATTTTTAGCGCTTGGAAGATTATCAGCGTCGCCTCGATACCTCCAATCTGAAGTTGTCAGAGTACCCAAATGTTGAAGAGCTCAGGGTGAGAGATGGTCTAATCATAATTTAAAAAATAAAATAAAATTTACTAAAGACCTGACAGGTAATTAACATCTCAGTGAGAACATACAGTACCTGAAGGAATTCTTATATCCTAGATTTGTCTGTATTTATGATTCTATGCTTCTTATTTTTTTAATGTTTTTAGAAGTATTATTTTCTTTTTTAAAGCTTTATTTATTTATGCATACAAGAACCGGGGTACAGGCCAGACGTGTGGGGGGTGAGAGGATTCACCAGAGACAGAGTGGGGAACAGAATAGGTGGATCCACTGAAATACACTGCTGAGGGGAGAAGCGGGCAAGTCAAGAGAGGTCTGCTGCGCCCTGTGGGTAGCTCCCTGGCTGGGGATCGAACTTGTGTTGCAGTGCTGCGGATAGCTTCATAGGTTGTGTCTTAACCCCTTGCGCCACCAGGAAGGCCCTCTATCCTTCCTTTTTATATAAAGATTACTTCAGTCTTTCATTAGCGGAATGTTTTGTGCAAAACTGTAATTTTTGGGGTCAGGAATATTTGCAGGAGATGAAGCAAGTAGTACTTACTATTAAATTTAATTGTGTTCCATAGTTTGAGTAAAAGCAAGGCTATTTACTATGAGAACTTTCCAGATTATTGAATAAAAAGCAAGGTAACTTGTTTTTCCTTGAAGCTTTTTAACAGGATAAAAGGTGAAAACATTACAGGAAAGGTAGTGAAGCATGTACTAAGTGCCACTTCTAGTACATGGACTTTTGTATTGAGAACTTTTTTAGGGGCCTCCCTGGTGGCACAATGGATTAAGCACCGCACCATGAAGCAATCCGCAGCCTCTGCAGCACGAGTTCGATCCCCAGCCAGCCAGGGAGCTACCTACATGGTGTAGCAGACCTCTCCTGTCTTGCCCGCTGCTCCCCTCAGCAGTGTATTTCAGTTAGTCTGCCTGTTCTGGTCCCCACTATGTCTCTGGTGAATCCTCTCACACCCCCCCTTATCTCTGGCCTGTACTCCAGCTCTTGTATGCATAAATAAATAAATCTTTAAAAAAAAAAAAAGAACTTTTTTAGGATTTTAGGTATTTCTTGTACTATTTCCATAGGTGGTAGTTTTTGTAGATTTATTTGGTGGCTTTTGAAATAGACTTGCTGATGTGCTTTTAGCTTCTTAATTTCTAGAGAATGAGATTTTTGTAGAACTACTTATACTGAAAAAAGATTTTCTTACTGAGTTATTAACATGTGGAGAAAGCTCAACTTTTCATGATTGCTGTTCCTTAGAATTTCCTTTGGAACTAGAGCCTTGAAACTCGGAGGCCTCTTATAGATGAGTTAGGCATCATCCTCATCTAGTTATTCATAGAAAAATTAAGGGATGGATTAAGAATCTAGTGGCTGAGTGTTTGCAACTTCATTTTCATAAGCTATCATAACCTATGTAGAGTGAGATTTGGAAGCCAGTAC